ACCCGCGACCCTGCTAAGCCAAGGGCGCCAGGCCGGGGAGGTCGGAGGCAGGGCAGGGCGCCACTGCTGTGGAGCTGGGCACCGATTCGGCTAACCCCTAGGGCATGTGCTTGGCTCAGCTGGGGTCTGCCGGGCTTTGGGGTGGCTCTGCTGCCCTCTGTGGGGCACAGCTCCTCTGCAGGGGGCAGTTGCCCACTTGGTAGCATGGCCCTCCCCATCCCTGGGAAGGCAGGGTCGGCGTGTTCCTCCAGCCAGAGCGCCCAGCCTGGGGGGTGCAGGGCAGAAGGGGGCTGACAGCGCCTGCAGTCTTCCATGGCCCTGCTTGGCTCAGGCTGTTCCTGGGGTGGGCCTGGGCCTTTGCCCCATGCCAGAGGAGCCTGGCTGTGCCGACACACCCTTCCCCTCTCTGCAGGGTTTCCTCCAACTGGAGGGCAGCAGGGCCTAGTGGCTAGAGTGCTGGAATGGAAGCCCTGTTCCTGGCCGTGCCGCTGGGCGATCTTGGACAAGTTGTGGCATGCCCCGTGCCTCAGTTTCCCCATGTGTAACCAGGGCACCGGGCTCCCCTTCGGACAGGGTGACAGCCGTGAGAGGAGCTAGAGTGATGAATTATTGTTTTTAAGGAACACCAGCTGTAGATGGTGGTTTGTTTTAGAGGCGCCGGTCTGGTCCCAGAGCGTGGTGACGTGGGGCTGGCGTCCGTGTGACCAGGGCTGTGCGGGGGGGATAGAAACGTGCCTTAGAGCCGCCCAGTGTGGCTGCCTTCCTGCCCGACGCCGTGTAACCCTGGAGTCGCCCTGGGAAGCCGGGCCTGCCCCAGAGAACTCGTCTCACGGGTTCTAGCTGGCGCAGGCAGATCCGCCGTTCCTGGGCAGTGCTGGCCAGTGGTCGGGCGACAGGGTCCAGTGGCCTTAACTCCTGCTCGGGGAGCCCGTCCTGCTATTTTTATACACTGCCCTTTCCGGGCTATTCGGCTGCCTGGCAGGCCCAGCCCTTTTAACGCAGAGTCTATTTTACTAACTCCCCTTCCCCGTCGGGACGCGGCTGCGGGGTTCCCATGCTGACCGAGAAACCCGTAGAGGCGAAAAATAAACTGACGTGAATCTAGCTTCTTGGGTGCCGCGTTTCCCTCGCCCTCCCCCGAGCAGCGACATGTCCTGGCTTTTGAAAAGCCCTTTCTTTGCGGGATACGTGCTCGACTACAGAGAGCGGGCTTGGGGGGGAGGGGTAGCTCAGTGGATTGAGCCTTGGCCTGCTAAACCCAGCGTTGTGAGTTCAGTCCTTGCAGGGGCCAGTTAGGAACCTGGGGCAAATCCATCAGGGATGGAGCTTGGTCCTGCTGTGGGCCAGGGGATGGACTCGATGACCTCTCCCTTCCAGCTCTGAGATAGATCTAGCTCCATATAGGTCCGCACACAGCCAGACCCAGGCCTGGGCTCACATACAGCCTGGTGCCCCTCAGGGAACGTGAGGCAGGCTCTGGCCAGCTGCGTGGGCCAGCTCCGGGCAGGCCCTGGTGCCGCGCCCCACAGCGTGTGGCTCTACGTGCCGGCTTGGTGTGCGCTGCTTGCTCAGCCCGCTGGCCGAGCGCCCCCTCCAGTCCCCACGGGGCCCTGCACGCTTGCTGGTGGGAGCCGCCGGCTGCGGCACTAGTCCCTGCTAATCCTGCACCACAGTCCCCAGCCCCAGCGTCAGCCTGTGGGTGGGCAGGCCCTGGTGCCGCGCCCCACAGCGTGTGGCTCTACGTGCCGGCTTGGTGTGCGCTGCTTGCTCAGCCCGCTGGCCGAGCGCCCCCTCCAGTCCCCACGGGGCCCTGCACGCTTGCTGGTGGGAGCCGCCGGCTGCGGCACTAGTCCCTGCTAATCCTGCACCACAGTCCCCAGCCCCAGCGTCAGCCTGTGGGTGCCCGGGCCGTGCTGAGCGGGTCCGTGTGAGAGCAGAGCACACTGGGCTAGACACAGAATCCTGCCCCTTCCCACGGCCCGGCCCGGCTCCCCAGTGGCCCGC